CAGGGAGCTGCGTGGGGCCACCAGGTCTTACTCTGCTCAAAAGAGTCACTTCTGTCAATTTCACTGTTTTTAAAAGTAGTTCAAAACTCTGGGAGTCCTTCTGGCTGATGTGATTTGGTACCTGGTCAGGGGATTAGTTATCACTTACATTAGCACGCGTTTTTAAGTTTCTTTCGAATATATGCATATTTACTATCAGAAAATGGTAAAAAAAGCAATGTTCCCTATTCTCTATCTAAGATTGCTCTAGAATACGTTTTTTCCCATTAACATAGGTCTGCATTTACAATCTTTTAACAATTTGCTAATAGTATATTGCTAATTTGCATGTATCAGCCAGCTAACGTTTCTTTATGTTTTCTTTATACTTTCTTTGCAAGTTTCCCCTCCCATTCCCAAGTCATTGTTGCAATTCTTCCTGAACGATTCCATTTGCTTTTCACAATCTCTTAGTGTTCTGTGTGGGCACATTAATGAGAATCATTTAACAACTATAATATCAGCTACTGCTCTCACAGCAGATGCTCTGCATGGTCCTTTTAAGTGCTAAGAGCAGGGTAGTCTTGAACCAGTAAAATAAAAATGGGAAACAAAAAAAAAAATCTGTGCATACCGAGTTTGTGAAAAGAAGGGATAAATACCCAGCTAGGTAGAAGCATAGCACTACAAGTACTAAGTTACAACACAATCTAACTCCCTTTAGGTCTGGAGTCTCGTTTTAAGAACAAATCAAGCTACATGCGATACAGTTGCGAAAGCAGAATACGAAGCTACATGAAAGAGGTAAAAGTTTCTGTTGAAGTGACTTATTTTGAAGGTGCTAGTAAAAGTAATTTTGTGACCACATATATGTAAAACACTTTGACAGTGCAACATACTAATTGTAAAGAGCCTCAGCCTGCTACAGGCACCAAATGACTGGGGTTTTTTCCCCCCCCTCTAGGTTAGTAGTTTTATTTCAAATGTTCATCCTACAGCAAGAGATGCATATAGAAGGATAATTGACCTGATGTCAGATAAACTGAAATCTGTGAAATACAATGGATGCTACTTTGACAGAAGAGAGGAGGAGGCAGTCCGCCTGTGCACTACGGAGGGATGGTTCTCCTGTCAGGTAAGTTCAACCCTTTCTAAAGCAGAGAGTCTTGGTTCCAGCAAGCAGTGGCATGACTTGCAATGACATTAGAGGAAGGAAGCAGTTACTTGGATGCTTGCATAGTGCAGTATCAAGTTTGGCAGGGTGATGTTGTCATAGCGAGCGTGATTTATCTTTGTTTAGTTACAGCAAGTGGAAGGACGGCACTGGGGTGAGGAGCAGTACGCCTTTCATTGTAGCCGACTTGTTTTACAGGGACCTTTTGACAGAGATGACTGCCTATGTAAGCATTCTATCAACCCCTACAGTAACAGGGAAAGCAGAATCCTCTTCAGTACATGGAATCTCGATCACATGTATGTACAACGTATTAATCCAAACTTACCTGTTTCATGCCCTTCATCTTAGGCAGGAAAGGTGTAGCCATTGAGTCTCCACCTCATCCTTCCCTGCACTGTGCAGTTAGCTCCACTATGAATAGTGCATTATGGTAAAAGATGTTTGGATGCTGCAGCTGTTTCTGGTAACATAAAACCCTGAAAACAGGTTATAATGCCGTCTCATTAGCTGCTTTGCTTCTGTTCAGATTTTCTCTGTATGGAGACATACCCCTCCTCACCACGTTATCCTTTGTGAAGATTGCTCTCTGGCAAAAACCCTCAGACCCATTTTCAGGCATTGTGCACTTGTGAAGCAAACGCGATTTGCTAACTAATTTCCGTGGGGGGGGCGGAAATCATAAACCTAGTTCTGGTGAAAGAATTCAAATTCCGCCTGGCTCTAAAAGGAAGATGGGGACTCGATTATTGTGAAAAAACTTTTGATGGCAATATTGTTTTCTCTTTTGTGTACTGAAGAATAGAGAAGAAACGTGCTGTTGTCCCAGAACTGGCAGAAGCTGTCAAAACACGAGATGGAAGAGAAGTGAACTGGGAATACTTCTATCAGCTGCTGTTTACCGTGGATAACTTAAAACTTGTACATATTGCTTGCCATAAGAAAACCAATCACAATCTCAGCTGTGACAAAACTAAAATTTACAGAAAAAGGAAGCAAAACCACAAGATTTCATAGTGCTATCTCTGGAAGTGACTTCTGCTTTTTTCAAAATCATGTCACGTCGTATCATTTTTAAATAGCTCTAGTTTCTCAAACAAAAACTTATTTAAGAGTCCCTGGCAAAAGAGACTTGCTAAGTAATCCAACTGCAATCTCACAAAGCATACATTCATATCATGCCTAATTCTACTCTCCCGCCTTCTCACTTACTAGAAGCCTTCCTTAGATCACACTGTGTTAAATGCGATAAAATACAGCTGTGAGTTGGAGTACAAAAATGAGGCCAGAGGCTGACACTGATTATGCCCTACAATCTCTTTCTTGCCATGACAAATGTAGGCCCAAAACTCACAGTACACAGAAATGAAGCTTAGACAAAACATTTCTTAAAAACTAACCTGAGGGGACTTACAGATTTGTATTTCTCTCAACATTAAGCCAAACAAAGAATACTTTAGGATAATTATTTTGCTCTGTGCCTTTTCCAGGTAGACAACCACTGTATTTCAGGTATGCCAAAGGGTGATTCAGTGACAGAGCTGCTGGCTCTTCTGTACCAAAACACCTGCACTCATCCACAACCACTCCATTTGCTGCTGCTTTAGACACACGTCTCCTAGAGGGAAGAGCAAGGCCATGGCTTTTACCACCTTTGTTCTTTGTCAGCTTTCCCATTGATTTCCCTCTCCTTTCAAACAGTTTCTGCCTCTTTAGCTTGAGTTTGCTTGAAGCGATACAAGCAATGTTACTGTATAATAATCATGTTTACCTGCTGCTTTAGAGAATATTGCTTTCGTAAAACACTTCCTACCTCAGGTAACAAAATACAAATAGATCGGGTTTTACTTTTTTTTTTTTTTTAAATATCAGCTGATAGTAACTGAACTTTTAGGGACCGTCAGTGTAAACAACATGAATTTTTTTTAAATAAAAATTTACCACCATCTTTCCGTGTGTGTATGTGGAGGCAGAGGTGCACAAGTGGTTAATCAGGTGTAATACAGCAAGGCCAATACAGACTAGAAAGACTGAGTGCAGGGAAACGTTTATGATTGGAGCACTAGCTACTCTCTGCTATGTAAATAACATCATTCATCTCTGGGGAAGAGCTCTGTTTTCCCCCATGTTATTGGTCCTCTTTCCTACCTGGGCAAATCCAGCTAGTCCACACTGAATTGTTTTAAGACAGTATTGCTGTGTCAGCCATAACTTACTAGGTCTTGGAAATGCGAGAGCTTTGCTACAGAGAGTATTGATTTCCTTTAAACAACAAACTCAATCGCCCTCCCAAACATTTCAATATGAAAAGTAAGTAGGTGCATTTTAAATACAGGATTTCTAATACCAATGCATTGAATTGATCCTTCCAGATTGCCTTACTGAATATATGTCATCGGTAACTAAGATGAAAATGCCCACTACACTGTTTTGACATTGGGGAAGGCATCACAGCTAAGATTCTGATGACAAACACAATGTCATCTGTATGGCACACTTCTTACAAACTGAAAATCACTATTTTACACACTGCTGAAACTAAAATAAATGACTGTGCGTGAAGACATATTTGCTAGAAAGAGATGGTAGCAAATATGGCATTTAAGGAAAGCTGGGAGAGCTACTTCAAGATGGAGTTGTGCTCAAAACCATGAATATGCTATTAAGAAATTAGATATTTCTGTGTTACAGAATTAGAGTGAAAAGGAGCCAAGAAATATCGTTGACAGAAACAATGCATCAGCTGGAGTGGAAATGTGAATAAATTAACGTCATGCGTATGCAATTTGTTTGGCTTACAACTTTTGAATGTTTAACAGGCTATAGCTGTAGAAATTAATATTTATTTAAACCATCTGCTGATTCTCTATATTTTTAGAAATGTAGAAGAAACTATTTATAACAATAAAGATCTGGAAGCTTATTGCATAATCGCACTTTCAAAGAAGTATTGTCATAAACACTGGGTGAGTTAACAGTTCTCAAAATCATCTGAGGTTACTCATTATTTTCTAAAAATGCAGGCCAAAATAACAAATTTGGTGGACTGACCCATATCCTCAGCAATCAATACTCATTCATCCATCAAGTCTGACACTGAGAGATTTTATTCCTGCTTTATCACCACCAGTATATTTGTTTACAAAATTCCTATTCATAACCCTTGGAAGTTAATTGAAAATACTGCACGAGCTGCATTACACAACTATTAAAAAAGGCAATGCTTTTGGCTGGTCTGGTGGAAGAGGGAAGCAGTCAGCTTCACGTGTGGTTATTCAGAGAACTGACGTGCAATAAAAACGTACTTAACTTCCAGAGATTAACACCACGGAACTCACATTGACATCAATGCATTTAGTTTTGCCAGCAGAACTGCATTTTAGAGGTTTAATTGGTTCTGGTTTAGATGCAACACAGTGCAACACAACTTACACAACAGAGGCCGGTGTCCCTCTTTGTACTGGGTAGTCAACTGGCTGCGTTACTGACTGGATGCCACAGTAGCAGACATCACAGAAAAAGGACTTTGTTCTAACATGCTTTTCTGGCTATATTTAAAGAAGGAGTGAGACCAAATGTTCACCCTAGATACGGGCTCAAATTTATAAAAAAGCAGTAAGAACTTCTATTTTCCCTGTTTTTTTCCTAAATATTAGTGGTAAAATGATAAATTACAATTTATTTCCAAATCACTGAAAATTCAGTCAATCTTTGCCCCAGATAACCGTGAGAGAATACTGTATCTGCCAATTCCAGAAAAACAAACTCTACCAGTTCTTCTCGCTCTGAGAGAAGGCAAACGCAGACACCTTATGTTAGTGACACAGCCAACCATCACTATGTGGTTGCAAAGAAAAAGAAAAAAGGTTTCATTTGTTTACAGTTTGTTGTTAGACAACATCCTCTTCCTCCTCATCTTCCTTTGCAATGAAATGTAGCTTTCTGAATTCTCGCCTGCTCATTGTTGTGCTTGGGAGTGCAACTGCTGGGAGATCCTTTAAGAAAAAGATAAAATCATTAAGGAAAGTCTGTTGCGGCAAATGGCAGACCTCCTACCTCTCCCAAAGTTCACATACTTCCACATCTGATACATGAGGCACCAACACACACTTCCTCACTTGCAAGCAGTGGCATAAACCCATAGCTAAAACAGAGGAGCTTTCAGGGGAGCTTGCCTGAACCAGTCACGGGCTCATGGTCAAAGTGAGGGCTGGCATTCCTTCTGCAGGCTTGAGAAGGATTCAAAGAGGGTGAAGCGCTCCACAAACAAATCCTCACTACTTCTGCTAAATACCAGCCATGACCCCTGCTAAATACCAGTCCTCATGAAATACCTGAAAGAAGAAGGCATCACTTGGCCAAAGTTATACAATGTTAAAGGCAGACCTGGGATTTGAATTTAAAACTCTGGCCCTTGATCCGAAAGCAGAGGTCGCCAGAAATCAGCTTCCATTCCAAAGAATTACAATAGTCGCAATTAAGAACCAATGACCAGTAACTTTTGACAGAGTAACACTGTCTTTATGAGTAAAAATATCTTATGGAATTGGAATAATAAAATCTAAACAAGAAAGATTTCACATCTGAAATTAAGATGCCTTGGCAATTAATTTCATCTCTGAGACAAATAATTCTATTTAGGGGACAGGGATATGACTCCAGATGTCTACCAACACTGGCCTACAATTTTGAGGCTAGCCTAATTTCGTTTGAAGATGCAAGACTGAAGTGGAACAGAACTGAATCTGTAAAGTGAAGAGACTGTCATCATCTTACCTGTATAAACTCGACATCCCCAAAGAACCGGTCCACTGGCATTGGCTGGTTGCTGTCTTCATCCAAGAAAGCACTACTGTCTAGTTGTATCGGCTTCTTCGGGAGATCTCCATCCTCCAAGCTAGACCCATCTGAAAGTACACTCCCACAGCTGCTCTCCTCTTCACTGCAGGCATGATTGTGCAGATTTTCAGCACTGTCCATTTTTGATGGAGCACTGCTTGATTTCACTGCACGTGGCTTGAGAGAAACATTATGTTCCTTTTCCTGTTTGTCTTCATTTGTCTCTGGAACGTTTTCACCTTCTTTCTGTTGAATTATATTACAGTCTCCTGGATCTTCTGAACATTGATTCCCCTCAGATGTTTTAGATGTTTCCCCCGATGCAGCAAGGTTTTCAATTCCACATGTAAATCCTTCTAATTCTGATTTTACTAGACTGTTTTTTTCACATTTTAGCCTTTTTAAGGGTCTGTCAGCTGCTTTGCGTGAAGAATACTGTTAGGAAAAAAATAAGATCCTAAAGCTTACTTGAAATAAAGAAAAATAAAATCACCGTATCTCTTTAGTTGCAAGGCTGCATGTGGAACCGAAGGGCTCCATCAAGCGAGCGGCACCTTGATCCAAAGCTACATCGCTAAGAAAAATAATTAGTAGAAAGTGCACATGAAAAGAATTGGAGCAGACAGCTTACACTAAACCACAGTGTACAGTCCATCACCAGTGGAAAGCTACTTCTCAAAGCATAAACTAGCACCGTACATGCCTAATCACGATTTTCATATTTTCTTAGGGATGCCGTAGATGGCAATTTATGTAGCAGAATGGACTATTGCCTCGCATGGCAAAGCGTCCCGCCACTTGCCAGTGGCACAGCACACCGGCTAACAGCCTACCACCGGCCTTTAGACAGTAACGAATCCGAAAGCTGGCCCTGCAGCACACAAATATGCCCCTGCACTGTATTTTTGCACACAGGCATCTAATGAAGTGGCGGGAAGGTAGCAACGGCAAAGAATTTACTTAAATTCTCCAGGTAATTCCCTCATGGCGATGCTCAGTTTGTAGCTGTTAATAATTAGCTGCACCCCCCACACTGTTACTGCCCACCCCCGCGGCACTC